CTCTGGAGACACCACCTGGTGAGTGATGACTCTGCCTCCACCTGCACAGCAGAAAGAATTACGCTCCTTACATAATAGAAACCTAGTATTGATATTGTTTTCATGCTACACAGCCGACTGAATGCTTCGCCACATTACTGTATATAAAAACGTTATGTTGTGTATATAAAAAAAGAGTTTCTGTCCAGTATCCATTCTCTTACTCTCACGTTGCAGCTGTGGTTATAGCTCTAATATGTGAGCTTAGATCCATGTCAGACCCCCCCCCCCACATTAATATTGTAAAGTCTCTCTCTCACAATCACAAGCTATCATTGCTGTATACTTCCCACCTGCGCTTTCATAATAACTCAGAGGTCGCATACCTAACTACTACCTCGTGTCTTGCAGTGCATTGTGGGACATAGAGACAGGCCAGCAGGCCACCACCTTTACTGGCCACACAGGGGACGTAATGAGTTTGTCTCTAAGCCCGGACTATAAGACCTTTGTGTCAGGAGCCTGTGACGCCACCTCCAAGCTGTGGGACATCCGTGATGGCATGTGCAGGCAGTCCTTCACCGGCCACGTGTCCGACATAAACGCCGTCACCGTGAGTACTACATCACACACACACACACACACACCACACACACAAACACACCGCACATTATTAAACGGATTGAGGACTCAATATCATTTGATTCTTGAAAATTGTAGATTTGATAAACATTCTTTATGAGAAAGAAACCTATAACATAAGAAGTTTGAATTTTAACTTTTTGAATTACCAACTATGAAAAATGACTCTTGTGTAGGAATACTTATAGAGCACTTATAGAGTAATAAAGTAAATCAGCGTCTTAGGTGTAATCACCTCAAAAACACAATATGATGACTTCTGCTTGATTTTTAAATGTTTTTTCCCCTGCAGTTTTTCCCCAATGGGAATGCCTTTGGCACAGGCTCAGATGACGCCACCTGCAGGCTGTTTGACCTGCGTGCTGACCAGGAGCTGATGATGTACAGCCACGACAACATCATCTGCGGCATCACCTCTGTGGCTTTCTCCAAGAGCGGCCGACTGCTCCTGGCCGGCTACGATGACTTTAACTGCAACGTCTGGGACACTCTGAAAGGCGAACGTGCAGGTAAGGAAGTCTGCTCTTTTTTTTTTCTTTTTTTTTTTCTTTTTTTTTTAATTATAGGTGACCGAATAAAGAAATAATTTACCTTGTGCAGTCATTGTACGTCAGTGCAGCTTTCAGCACTTTGAGCAAATAGCTATATTAGACACTTTGAGTCTTTATTTCCTAACCTACGTGTACACTCCAGATCAAAGTGACACAAGTCTGATTTGATCAAATCTGTGGCACATTTGATGAACTGCAAAATCTTTTTTTTCTTTTTTAATTTTGATTTGGACCACATGAACCATGGATGAATGTGGGATGTATGAATCCTAACACACTTGTATGTGACAATTTGAATCTAGATTTATTATGACAATAAGGGTCCGTCCGTAGAATCACGGATCCTGTCCTGCCAAAGTTTGCATTTTAAAAAAGGTGTGTTGTCGTCGATGTGTGCTTATTTTGTCACTGCACAAAGTGAGAGAATTGCACCTACCTACCCTGTAGAGCTACAACAATTAGTTGATGAATCAATGAAATTTAAAGAAAAGTGCAATTGTTTTGATGATCAGTTAATTGTTTTACTCAGAGTTCAAGCAAAAATGTCAAACATTATCTGGTTCCAGCTTCTCAAATGTGAGAATGTCCTGCTTTTCTAGGTCTAACAACTAAATCAACCAAATCTTTTTTTTTAAAGATATTTGATGGTGTCACCTTGTGCTTTAGTATATTGTGACAGCATTTTACTGTCTTCAAATGTTTTGTAGAACATATCAATAATTAATGAAAATAATTGTTAGTTGCTCAAGACAACATAAGACGAAGAGAAGCTGCAGATTCTCACATTTAAGAACTGGAATTTTGTTTTTTGCTTGAGAAACGTCCTAAACGATTACTCAGTTATGAACATAGCGACCAGTTATTTCCTGTAGATTTACTCATCAATCAGTTGGCAGATTCAGTGCTAATATCAGCCAAGTTGCATCCTTGAACAAACATCTTTGAATTTGAATTTCTCCTTCGTGGTATCAATAAAAGTACATCTTATCTTATCCTAAGAATGAGCAGCAAGTTGAACATTAAGGCCTATAGTGTGAACTGCTCATGTTACAGCCAAAGACATTGTGTTTGAATGGCTCTTAATTTTGGGTTGCAGATTTTTGATAACCAACCTTTGACTCTGGTTTATCGTCTTTGACCTCCCAGGTGTGCTAGCGGGCCACGACAACAGAGTGAGCTGCTTAGGGGTGACAGAAGACGGCATGGCTGTGGCCACCGGCTCCTGGGACAGTTTCCTCCGGATCTGGAACTAAAACAAACCTCTTCCCTGTTGTACTCAATCACTGCCTGCCAACTTCCTCCCCACAACCCCACCCTACATATCCCAACTCATCTGCTGGGCTGGACCTGCGGGGTGCACACCGTGTCTGCCGAAATCCTCTTAAGTCACCCCCAGTTCTCCTCTCTGCTGGCGACCTGCCCACCTGTGAGAAAGTACCAACTCTTTCTACCTTTCCAAGTGACGTTTTTTTCACCCAGCTATTACACAGAAACAAAAATAAGAAACCTTTCAGTAGAGTTGTCCAATCATAAATAAAAGAGATGAGTTATGAGAAACTGAAGGAAAAAAAAAATAGAAGATTTCGCCCTTAAACCAATTCTCTAAAAGGCGATGAAGAACGTCTATAACCATGACTAACAAGCAAGATGAGCGTTGATGTGTAATATGTAAATGTATATATAAAGACAGTATATATGTATAGCATTATGTGTGTATATATGCATCATATATGCATATATAATGTGTATGTATATATTTTTGTAGTTAATTTCCCACCCTTGCGATTTTTATTTTATTTTTATTTTTTTTTATGATTTGGGTGTTTTATGTTTTATTTCAAATGTACATATTCACATTACTGCACAGCATAATGCCAGAAACACTTATTTTATCCTGTGTAAGTACCAGAGTCAGTGTCAGACACTTATGACACAGCAACGTATCGTAAAAAGTAAAGATTTCTGGTACTTGCTGATTCAGTCAAGCCTACTCATCTAGCAACAAAAGAGGATATAGCAAGTAAACAGATCAATTAGAAAAAATATAATTTGCCCTAGTTTTAACTCACTTTCCTCATTTTTTGTGTTCAGTGTGCGTGTGTGTGTATTATGGTTACAGGCAGTGGGCATAACTCATGCGTCCTGTATCTACAAATGTTGCATTCATGTGAATGATGGCTATGATGGTATATTCTTTTTCTTTTAATAACACGACCCCTGGCATTCCTCACCACAGTCTTTTTCAAAAAGCAACGTTTTTAAGTATTATTATTTTTTGTCTGGATTCAGCTTTAGCTCCAAAGTAGAAACCAGTGAATTTTAGCCTAAGATTGAAAAACGTTATTTTCCTGGAGGCCCTGCCTTGGCCTCTTTCTCACATGGATTGTGGTTTCAAATCATCCGCATGCTGAATATCTGAAGACCACATCCATTCCATGCAAATCAACAGATGTGTGATGTGTTCGATAACCCCAATAATGGTCCTAAACAGAGGTTTTGCATCATAATATGCCCGTCTCCTGTGGCCTATAGAAACTACACTTTTCCTTAAAGTCGAGATGAGCATCTCAAGTTGCCCGTACAAATGATGCTGATGGAGAAGAGGGATACGTTCTCCCCAAGCAGAAGCTGTTTTCTACCGGTGCTGAGGCCTGCATGGACAAATGGTAGAGCGGGCGGTCGTTATGAGGATATTAAAGGACCATAAAGGCAGCGGTGACATCTCAGCAGCCTCTGAGGACTAGAGAAAAGATGAAAGAGCGAAAGATGTCTGTCAGAGCTCTCCATGTCATTTTTTTCTCTTTTTTTTTTTTCCTAAATGAAGGATCAAGAAGTCCTTTTTGTCGTCAGCAAGGTGTGAAATGAGTGACTGCATGGAACTGAAATCATGTTTGCCACTCAAAAATCACACCAGTGCCACCACAAGCCTGTAAAAAAAGAAAAAAACAGAAAAAAAGAGATTTTTTTTTTTAAGGGTTTAACACTTTCAGCAATTTCTTTCCTCACCAAAAACATGTTATGAACCGTTAAATATTGCTAGTGAAGAAAGTACACTTGGTAGACAGAAATGTACACTTAGTAGAGAGCTAGAAATGCACTCACAAGCTGTAGTACAAACGTAGACCATCGAGCACATGTGACTTATTTACCCATAGAAGTGGTTATCTCTGATTTTGAGTATTTTCACGCAACTTCCATTATTTTGGTTCCTCCTAAAGGCTTAATTAAAAAAAACAGCTAAAACACATGTATGTGAGTTGGACCTATCCATCAGCTGTCTCAGGTGCCTATCTCTAAATAGAAACATTTGACCCACACGGGCTAGATAAAGGAGGGTTTGTGCTCCTGTGAGATGTGGCACTATTGTGTCTCCATTCTGCCTTACAATACCATTCATAATAGAAGGTAATACTAGCATCGACTACAGTAATGTTTTCCTCTTACTATTCCTTTTTACACACTGATCAATAAGAAAGATTGCTAATTATTTTTCTTTTTTCTCGATAGAAGCACATTCTGATACTAGTGAACACTAAAAAGCATGCTTACAGAAAAAACCCCACCATGGCCACATGCAGCTCCATACTGCTTCTTAAAGCAAGTGTTTTACATCACTTTTTATACAACTCTGCTTTCTACTACTACCGTACAGTTTGTAGTATTTATTTAGGTTCAATCAGCTATCAATGAAACCCCTCTTTGGCATACCGTGATTCTAGTGACCTTTTTTTTTTTTTTTTCTTT